CGCTGACAGAGCGTACTGAGTATATTCAGGTCGCTCCGAGACGAACATGAGCGACCCCAGTACGCTTTTGATTCATCGTCGGGGATTTTTCCTTCGCAGGCAGTGTTGCCAGACTCTGCGCGCGCGGTTTTCAAATATTTTTTTTATGACCTTTTCTTTTAGGAAATTGCCTACCTATCAGGGGCCATCAGAAGAATTTGTTATGGTTTTTCGTTTATTATACATTTATTCGAAATGAAATTCAATGTCGGTGTCGTCTTCGTCCCGTTGTCCGGCAGGGCGCTGCTCCCGGTGTTGGTAGATGACGGACGCCGTCATTCGGGCCCGCAGGTCGCGATCCGGGGTCCAGCTGTGACAGCAAGCGGCAGCAGGAGGCCCCCGGCGCATCGCCTGCGACGCCATCTCGGCCGCACGCACCGTCGGGGTGATGAGCCGATTTCGAGTCTTCGTTTTCACATTGTTAATTTTTGAAAAATCTCGTTCACAGCCGGCGTTGGAGTGGGGGACGGAGAGGGTGCTCAATGCAAAGTCGGGCAGCAGACGAAGTACCCTATCCCCACATGCGTCTGTTGCCGCTCTAATTGCATGCCAAAACTGATCGGCGTTTTTTATCAGTTCTGCGTCCTTCATTGGCGGCAATGAGAGGGATGGGAATTTCCTCCACTCTTCTTCTAGGAGCTGAAGAGTGTCGTCGTCTTGCGCCACGCATCTGGGGAGTGCTGTGGCGCGGTAGTATTGAGTCGGGCCTATCCCGGCGCGACATTGCCGTAGCTAGACTAAGCGCCCCCAAACCCTTCATGATCTTGCTCCCGAAGTCGTAACGCTTGCGGAGCTCCAGGCAGCCGGTGATCATGAAGTCCTTGCATCGTTTTCAGAAGTCCGCGATGTGTTCGGGGTGGGCGGCGCATCCTGGTGTCTCCAGCCAGCTCAGCACTGGACGGCCCAGAAAAAGGTTCTCCAGCGGAATGAAGCCTTCTGCTGCCGCGGGGTCTACTTCATGTAGAGGTCGCCGGTGGACATGAGTATCCTTCATGTAGAGAAGGAGCAGCTCCTCGCACGCTTGGCACATTCGGACATGTGTAGGACAGTGATGATTGTTTTCTCTGATTGGAAGAACTCGTTCATTCTTGTGAACTTTGGCAATATCTACTGAATGAACAAAAGGTACGCCTTGATAAATGGCTTTCGCAGCGTATCTAGTATCCATTCTGCAGAGATTAGCTTCGCTGAACGAACTTGATCTTGAAAAAAAAGTTGTAAAGGGCCCCATTTCTACAGCGTCCGCTCTACCACCGCCGCCAGGGACAGCCACCTAGTTTGACTGAGACGAAGGATCTTGTGAACTTTTGTGAACTTCGAGATCAAAAAACTTCTGAAATTCAGCAAAAGCAGCCTGGCGCTTCGGAGTTGATTTGAAGTAGTTGTATATGCCGCGCAACAAGTCCTCCGCCGCCCGAGGTAGCTGCTTGCACGCCTCATTCGCACACAAATGAAGGGAATGACACACACACTTCAGAATGGTTATTCCCGGTAGATTTTGTCACAGACGCGAGGCCATGGAGTTGTGCTCCCCCATCATTACTCTGCACCCATCCGAGCCAAAACCAACGATGTTCTCTTTGGGCACCTCTACGAACGTGTCCATGACGAGTCTGTAGAGCCGCTCTGCCGTCGCGCCGACTTCAGCCCCATTGTCGCTGAAGACTTGAACGAGGTCCCAGAACCAGCTGATAATTTTGCCTCCTGACTTGCTGTACAGCCTCACATCGATGCATGCAGTTTTGGTTGATGAAATATCTGTCGATTCGTCCATCATGATCGAGAACTTGGTTGTCTTTAAGACACTCGTCATGAAATCTTTCTCAGCCTGACCGATTACATTCAGTAAAATACCCGTTGCTTTTGTCCTGCCGAGTGTCATTTTCTGGCAAACTTGTGAGTCAGGGTAGCAATTTTTCAGCAACGGCACAAGGTGTTCGACCGCGCGGAATGCAATATTGTGGGCAGCAAGGAACCCCGATATCGTAAGTTCAGCATTTTGTACTTTTGGGGCCAGGGGGGTATTTGGTCGGTCAATATAAGAGGTAATGCTGGTCCTACTCGTGGACGCTTTCTGCCACTCGGTGTGCGTATTTGTACTCTCGTGACGCCCGATCATGTACATGTCAGCACGCATCTCCCCGCCGCAAAGTTTGCACTTTGCGCGGTACGGATCTTCGACAGGCGTCATCCACTTAAACTTCTGCTCCCATTCAGAGCGGTACTTTTGCAACCGATGCCCTGACTTGGTAGTGGTTTCGGGGTCTGGTGGTCTCCTGGTAGTCGGTGTGGACGGGACGGGGCAGGATGAGACGTCGACGTGGACGGGGCTGGACGGGACGCAGACGGTGTCTGGAACGGAGGCGAGCGGGGACCGACTGGTGACGACGAAAAAACGCTCGTCCGTAACGCACACACCACGGAATACACGGAGCTGCATCGGTGTTCGGTAAGTACCTTGTGGTGTCGTTCCTCCCAAGCGCCTCGTGGGTATTTTAGGTGGTTGTATGGGAGTTGTGACGGCGGGGAGGGGCGAGGGTAGGAAGTGCTCTTGTTCTTCTTGGGATCCGGTTTGCGTAAGGTTAAATACCCTATTCGTTCTCGAGTTATCGTGTGGACACACAGACAGCCAGAAAACGTTTTTTTCCGACCAGACAGAGTAATAGGCTTCGATAATCGCTCAGTTAACAAGGAAGATAGATGTACGCACGCCAGACCAAGTCTCGCGTATCAGGCTTTGCATTATCTCACGAAACACTGTTACGCTGCGACGCGCCTGGCATACCAGGTGGCTGATTCACGCCGCGCACTTTTGTACTATGCAACCCGCCCTCACGGCTCCCATCCGGGACTGCATACCCATCAGGCGCAGGGGACCGGCTTCAAGCGCCAACGCGTCGCTCCACCCCTGTTGTTGGGGCCAACGCTCAGGGGCGTTGCTAGGGGTTGTTCGCGGTCTGGCGCGAGTTCCTGCGAGTCCGCCAGGGGTAACCCATCAGTCCGTGGGGGTAACATGCGGGTCCGCGGGGGTGACTCGCGGGTCGCGTCTCCGCGGGGGTAGCTCGCGGTCCGCGGATCCTGCCACAGGGGTACCTCGCGGGCCGCGGAATCGAAGTCGGGAAACAATACAGGATTTTCCACTTGAATTTCTTCTTCCCGGGCAGGAGCAGGGACTTCTTCGGAAACTACAGCCTGCTGTAGGGTACTAGTACCATCTACCACTTCGATACCTTAGACTGAAAGGCACGCAGTTCAGCCGCCCGCTCCAAGACTGACGCAGTTCAGCCGCGCGATCCGAAAGACACGCAGTTTACCGCTCCAGAGATAGGAACTGCGTGAGTCTTGGAACGGGCGGCTGAACTGCGCGCCTTTCGGAACGCGCGGCTTAACTGCGTGCCTTTCAGTCTAAGGTATCGACTTGAATTATGCTCATGTTATCAATGGCCCTTTTCAGATCAGTCAGTACTTCGGTCTTTTTTTCAACAACCTAAAAAAAAAAGACAAGATGAACAAAAAAAATATTATATCAAGTTCACAAAGTAATCCTTCTGACTTCATTGGCAACATTTGAATTCAATACCTGGGAAAGCTTTTCAATCTCCTTTGAAGGGTGTTATTGATAACAGCATGAGATCCTTCCGGTGAGGTCGAACTTCTAATGCCACCTGCTTGATTATCAATGAAAGGGTTCAGTGGCGAGGAGGACCTCCCAAGAGGCGACAAAGAGTCCTTTCTCTTGGGCGCTGAAGGAGTACTGAGGGGCGAGGTGTCATTCTCCTTTTCAGACTCTTCCATCTGCAAGACAATAAAAAACGACCAGGTGAAGTCAGAGAATGTAGGAGGAAACACAACATGTTCCACTTTCAAAGGAAGCAGAAAACTATGCTCACATCATTTCCTGAAGATGAGTATGCCACCTCCCAGCCAATAATGTTCATTATAGCATCTACTTTGGGGTTGTCTGAAGTGTATGTCTCCCGGTGAGCCAGAGGGGACGGCCTAAAAGACGTGTTTGCTTAGATGCATATGAACATTTGTCAGCCCAGGACTGAAAGGAAAAGGATCAAATTTAGTGTCACACAGGTGTTTAGTTTGAGAGTAAAACTGCAGAATTTGTACAAGACAGTAGAAGCCACACTTAACTCTTTGCCATTTATGGGCCGGCTTGAATGGCCCAAGTGTATTTAGTTTGGAAGCAGCACGTGACCAGAAAATGTTCAGCGCGTCTTTGTCTTTAGTGCCACTGCCTGGTACAGCAAAGTCGCGATATGGTGTAGGGATGGTAACCGATAGAAAAAAAAACGGTTTTTTAAAAACCGGTTAAAATTTTTCGCTTGACCGGTTCACGGTTTAAAACCGTCCGAAATAACCGGTTAACCCGGTTAAAACCGGTTTTTTTCCCATTCACATTTTTTTTTGAGAGAGAGATTTCTGTATATTCTTTGGTAAAGGCAAAGTTCATGTTTAAGGAGATGAGATGGAACAATAAAAAGGAATTGCATAGAAAGTGAGATCATTTATTCACAGCCCATAGTCAATTTGTAACAATATTTACAAGATGGCAGCAGAGTCATAAGTAAAATTATAACAGTTAAAATAATCTAAGAGAACCACATGCTTTTGGATACTGGTAAACTAAAAAGTGAGATCATTTATTCACAGCCCATAATAGTCAATTGGAAACAACATTTAGATCATGGCAGCAAAGTAAGAAGTAAAATTAAAATAGTTAAAATAATCTACGAGAACCACATGCTTTCAGATACAGATTGGAGAAAAACTAACATTTTTAGATGATGCCCACTCAAACGGTTTCTTAGCTGAGTAGCGATGAGCCCAGCATGAGAAAACAAGCGT